TAGCTATATAATTTTTGGTACCCAGGTTTTTATATAGGTACTAAAGAGTTTTTATAGAATATAGACTTCTTGAGCGAACTAAAAAGCAAAATGAATACTTTAGTACCCAGGGTACCAAAAAAGTGTCCCAGAACTTCCATAATGGCCCTACTCAACTTAACTGATAATATTTTTATCCATAAGGCCTGATATAAGCAGGTGATAAGCAATAAGAAAAAACAAGTAAACATATTAAGTAGTCATAGATATGCAGATTCAATTGCAGCATACATTATGATCTTAGGCTCTGAGTTGTTAAATTTCATAGTAATGTATTTATTAATACAATTTAATTCTATACAATTGAATATTTAGTCATTATTGTAATTAGTTTTATATAAAATATTGTCTTCCAAATAATTTGATTAACCAATGATATTTTTGCAATATCATGGAATGATCTACAAAAATCAGCCAATAACAATGAAGGCCTGCTACATCTGCATAAAAGTTTAGAATTGTTTGAATATTTATCTCTAAAAGAATCAATATGCAATTGAATTAAAAATTTTATTTTATGTTGTTAAATTTTGTTTACTAGTATTTGTATTGTATATATTATATATTTTTTAATTATACTTAAAAATTTTATGAAATGATTTTGTATTGTATTTGGTTTAAAATAATTACAGTGAAAACACAAAACAATATTTGAATTCTAGACAAAGTAAATTAAAGCTACAAATTCTGTTTTTAGAAGATTAGGAAGTTTATTTGTTTTTTTCTATAAATATTCTAATATACAAAAGTAAATAGGTTTAACAATCTTATTTTTTATTTCTAAATTTATAAATAATAAACAAACTAAATGAATAGATAAATATAATTTATCCAAACAAAGATAAACTTTCTTTATATTTTGTTTAATTTTCATCAAAAAAAGTTAAACTTACAATTGTTAGATACTAAATTAATAAATCAAAAAAATAACTACCAATATTGAAACTCTTCACTAAACTTTCGAACTCTGGCTACAATGAAGATTTGAATAATGATTTTTCTCAAATTTTGATATTGATTATTCAGTCCCTGAATCTTTTTCTCAAATATTTGGCTTTATTTTTTTTGAAAAGGATATCAATAAAGGAATTAAAAAACTTCAAAATGAAAAGGCAACATTTAATGGAACTAATGTTCAAATAATATATTTACTGATTTTTTTTTTAGTATTATCTTTTCGTCTGTAGGCCAATTTGCTCTGGATTTTTATTATAAATTTGCTTCTGATTTATTTTTTTAAAAAATTAAAATATTGAAATAAAAATTTTTTTTAAGAATTTTTGAAAATAAGGTTAATATAATTGTAAAATTTAATTTTATATTATAAGAAAAAAAATTTTAAGCTAGTAATAAGCCTAAAATATCTAATTTTATTAAAAAATTTGTTTAGTTAAAAATTTTTTATTTATACTTGATAAACTTTATAAATATTAAATTTAAATCTATGGTTTCTAATATAATATTATAGTTTAAATAAAGGATTGCAACTTTTATTATAAAAATTTTTAATTTTATTTGTAAAAATAGTACTTACATTAATTGTAAAAAAAATTTTTATAAATAAAAACATATAAAAACTTAAAGAATTTTAAAAAAATTTAATAGTAAATATATTAAATTTAAAACTTTAAATTTTTGTTATTTAAAAGTTTTTTAATAAATTTAAAAAATTTTCTTAACAAAGTTGTTAAAACAGATTTTAAAATATATTTTTTATTTAAGCTAAAATAATATTTAAGATTTTATTTAAAAAATTTTAAATATTACTTAAAATCTGGTACAAATTTGCCCCTAATACAGATGAAGAGGTAGAAATCTAGAGTGTGTATTTACCTTATATGTCTTATTTCTTGAAGTTCTTTAATTATATATATACTTCTAGGCAAAATTCTCCAAAATATTTATCATGATATTTTATTATAATTTATTTTTGTTTCTTTTAATTAAACAAAATTAATATTTAAATAGTGCCTAACTCACATCCAAGTGTCAGAATTTTACTTTATAAAATTAGGCAAAATTGTGCTAAATCTTAATTCTATATTGAAATAAGTATTTATAATGAGGTAAGCTTTTAGAAATTAAGTCAGAAACATGTTAAGAGTATTCAATTTCTTTATTATTATTAATTGCTTCATCAAATCCTGTGCTCTTCATAACATTCCTGTTTTATTTATAATATATACATAGTTAAAATATGAAAAAAATTAAATAAAAATATTAAGAATACTCCAATTTGAATTCTTTGTTTAACATAAAAAATGTATTTTATAAAAAGAGCATTAAATTATATAATTCTATTGGCTTAAAAAATACAAATTCAAAGATAATACTGCAATTTGAGTTAATATAGTGTGGATTTTATATAGCTTTTTAAAAATAGAAGGGATTATGTTAAACATAAAATCAACTTGGAATAGCCAAAAACATATTTATACCATAAACAATCTATATCTGGTCCTGGTAATTTTAAATTCTATATATTTAACTTTTCTTTTTTCCTTTCAAGCATTTCTTTCTTAAACTCTATATTGACTATCTTACAATATTTACTCGAAATTTTCTCTGTTTCTTGAACTAAATCATCAGCATCTATTAATACTATCTTCTTTCTAGTTACATTCTTAATTAAGTCATAAAGAATCCTTGAGTCTTTAAGCCAAACTTTTTTAGAGCAAAAAATGTCATATCTTTTAGAATTAGGTATGCAGTCTTCATTCCAAGCTTTACATATAAACTTTGCAGCTTTGTAAAATGACTTTACAGATATTTCTGGATTTCTAATTATAAACATATGTTTAAATTTTGAAAGAATTTTCTTGGATCCTAATGGATTTCCTTCTAAATTTCCTTCTAAAGCTTCTAAAAAGTTGGATTCATGATCTTTTACAAAAACTTTTAATTTATGTGTTTTATCATCATAATGAAAGGAAAGAATTTCATTAAGAGCTAGTGAGAAATAATGTACAAAATTGATTGGATTAGTAGATTTAGATAATAGAATCTGATTCAAAAATTCAAAGTTTTTAGTCACATAAGCATGACCAATTTGATTAAATAGTTTTGAATTTTTGAGGATATTTAAGAAATAGTCATTCAGAAACTGTAGAAAGAGGCCGCAGATAGGACCAAAGAATAATGGGTCTTTGATCTGCTATTTTTAAATGAGGTAATTTGATCTTATCTGGTCTTTTTATCAAGTTGTGTAATAAATTTGTTATACATGTTCATGCAATATATAGCAAGGCCATATTCAAAGCAGTATCAGAGTCTAAAATATGAATAGTATTAAATTATCAAAAATTATCAAACAGGGAACTATTACATCATTTGTAGATCAGTTATCTTATTTTAGATTCTTAAAATCCGTTTTGAAAAGTACCTAATTATTTTCGCTTTCAATACTTTATCAAGTAATATACAAGAGCTAGTTGTTTATGCAGCTAAATAATATGCCTTGAACGAGAATAACTAAGTCAAATTGGTGAACTTTTTCTTATTTAAATTCTTCAAAAATCAATAGAAGAAAATTTTATTAAATTTGGCTTTGTGGCAGTTAAGATATTTTTGTTCAAAGTTTTAAAAAATTCTCAGATAAAGTTGTGTCAAAATTGTGTGTATTTATCTTATTTCAGAATTTCTTTAATTGATTATATTTGGAATATCTAACTATTTAATTATGAAAACCTATTATTAATTTATTTTTTAATTGAAAAAATATTTTAATTATAAAAAAAAATTTATAAATTAAATTTCTTGAATTGTTAAAAATTGACCTATTTATTACTTTTTTTAACAAGTTGGAACTTACTTTAAAGAAACCTATATATTTTGATAAATATATTTACAATAGGTTAAAATATAAATTGTTATGTCAGAAAACATTGGTATGTTAAGACAGAGATAGGGTCATATAAATCAAAGGATAGTAAATCCTGTGATGTATTATAGAGTCCTAATAACTCAGACCAGAGGGAAAGTCTCATTAGGATTTATATTTGGTAGATGCTAAAATTATGTATTGGTAGGTGTCTAGAAACTTTCTTGGACCAAGTTTTCTCACCTGCCGCAATTAAGTTGTTTGGTATATTGTTTTTAAATAATCATATGGCTAATATGTATAGTAATACAAGAGAGAACTAAGTGGACAAGTTATTTGACAATACAATTGTCTGAATGTCTAAGATATTTATTAGTGTATATTATAATTCACAAAGGCAAAGATAGTTAGTTATAAAGCCAAAATTATTCAATAAAAGAATTTTTTTGGCAGAAAATTTATTGTAATTATCATTTAATATGAGCATTAATAAAGAAAAATAAAATCTAATTAAAATATAATTTTATAGAGCTATTTGTAATTTATCATTTTACCTAGAATGTTAGATCATTTAATATCTATTATCAGGGCCTGATTGAATAATCTTGAAAATTCTGCAGTTTAATAATGAAGGTTCTTTCAAACTAAAACCAGAATGTACAAGTGAAGTTTCAAAAAGAAGCTATGTAAGGTTTTTAACAATCTTGTCATTCTTATTAGCTTCAACTTTAGTTTTAAGTGATTTAATAATTTAATAATGTGGATTAATTTCCAAAATCTTTTTTGATAACATATATGATGCCTTACTAGAATCGCACATTGCCTAAGCTTTCATGATTCATTCAAAGTTGGCAGACCAACTGTCTTGTCTTGTTACAAGAACATATAGCGACACTGAAATATGATTTGATACAAGAACCTAAAAAAATAAAATAGATTTTAACATAATTAAAATAAAAAAAACTGTCATCACCTTAAATAATTTGCCTTTTCAACGCGATTACCAAGAATTTCTTTAATTTGCTTGCACAAGTAATTATATTTCTTAATTTCTTCTTTATGCAGTTTCTTCTTATTTTTATCTTTATCAATCTCAAGCCCTTCTTTTGTAATACATACAAGTTTCTTACTATCATATTATTTAAGCTGTGAAACGGAGTATTCATCAATGAGGTCAGTCATGAGCAAGACTTCATACTCTTATTTTTTCAATACTTTAGCAAATGCAGAGTTCTCGACAGCTTGACGATTTTCACTGGTAATGTAGTAAATATCTTTTTGTTTTTCAGAAATACATGTTATGTAATCTTTGAGAGAGGTAAGTTCATTGGTTGATCTTGTTGAATAATAGCAAAGAAATTCGGTTAATTTGACATGATTCTAAGAATCTTCATAAATACCAAGTTTTATGTTTTTGGAAAAAGCTTCATAGAATTTTGAGAAATTTTCTTTATCTTCAGCAATCTTTAAAAAGAGCTTTATACATTTCTTCACCATGTTTTTACGGATGGCTTTGAGAATCTTGTTATGTTGAAGCATTTCTCAAGAAATATTGAGTGGTAGATCTTCTGAATCAACTATTCCTTTGATGAAGTTAAGATATTCAGGAATTAAATCTTCACAATTGTCTATAATAAAAATACTGTGTATATAAAGTTTAATGTTATTGCATTTTTTCTTAGTTTCAAAGAGATCAAATGAAGCACGACATGGTATGAATAGAATTGCTCTAAATTCTAGTTGACCTTCTACGAAGAAATGCCTAATAGCCAAATGTTCCTTCCAATTATTAGTTAGAGGCTTATAAAATGCAGCATATTCTTCATGCTTAATATTAGCTAAATTTCTTTTCCAGATAGGTTTGGTTTTGTTTAACTCTTTGATTTCTAACATCTTTATATTCTTTTTATCATTTTCCTCATCTTTTTTAACTTCCTTTTCAACAATAAGTTGGATTGGGTGGCAATGAATTCGGAGTGTTTCCTTACAACCTCTCTAATTTTATGTTCTTTAAGAAATTCTAATTGATCTTCTTTGAGGAACAATTTAATAAGTGTGCCTCAACCAATTGGTTCATTAACTGTATCACAAACAATGGTGAATGATCTACTGGCTAACAATTTCCAAATATACTGTTCATTGTCATTGTGTTTTGTGATCACTTGAACAAGGTCCGCAACCAGGTAGGCAAAATAGAAACCAACACCAAACTGACGAATTATAAAATGTCAGCACTAGATTGCAAAGCTTCAATGAAATCCTTGGTACCTGAACGAGCAATAGTACCAAGATTATTCACAAGTTCAGCCTAAGTATGTATTTTATTGTTAACAAAATAGGTTGATTTATAATATAGGTGGGCAATATAGAATTATTATAAGATTATAATATGGGAGTGTTCTGAGAAAAGGGCCCAAATTAAAAAATTTTCTTCACAAGAAATCAATTATCTGGTGAACTATTCATCAGAATTGTATAATTTTAGTACTATTCGATTCCTCTTGATGAGACGAATTGAATAGTACCAAAATTATGCATTCATGATGAATAGTTCATGAGATAATTGATTTCTTGTGAAGAAAATTTTTTATTAATTTGGGCCCTTTTCTCAGAACACTGCCCATATATAAAAATAACTATTTGACTAATTTAAGCAAATTTATAAATAGTTAGGGTTAGGGTGAGAGTTATAGTTTAAATTAAGGCTAGGTTAGAGTTAGGGTTTTAGAGTTTTATATATTATAATCTTATAATATTTTTATATTGCCCACCTATACTATAGAAAATTCACAAAATAAACTATCATTTTCCGATAATAGCTTTGATAAATACCTTGGTTATGCCAATTCCACTATCCTGTAACATAAGAACGTTATTTTCTTTATTAGGAATTATTCAGATATAAAGTTCATGTCTGTTATCAAGTTTGAAGGATCGGTAAGTGATTCATATCGAATCTTATCCAAAGCATCTGAAGCGTTTGAAATCAATTCACGAAGAAAAATCCTGCATTATGAGATTCAGAAATAGAAATATCAACAAACGCCAGAAAATTATAAACTTATTTCAAAATAATATTAACCAATTTTTCTCAAGGTAAATCCCAAACTTACTCTTTATTTGAGTAGAAAGTGTTAATAATAATTGACATAAGCTGATATATCTTAGCTTGAAAGGCAAATTGTTCTTCTTCAGCCATTTCTATGTAAATATGTATAAAGCACTCTCAAAAATTACATATATTTGGTCACTCTCTGTACAGTTACGGTCAAAAATTTAAAAATTCAAGTATACAATCTCGATTAGAATTTATCTTTGATGAGAATTTACAGTAATATCGTAGAATATAAGTTATATTTTTAATTGACATTGTGCTGAACATGTTAAATTTTTTGTAAATATTCTAATGAATTGTCTCAATTAGATAAATGCTCAAATGTTTATTGAAAGTTTGAATTATTTTATTGAAATATGCAACTAATTAAATCAAATCATATAATACTAAAATAAAAAACAATTTCGCAATTTTTTAATACGGATGATTTATGAAATCTCATTCTTCAAATTTAAAAATAATATTAAACGAATTAAAAAAACATGCTTTTTAATTTGTCGAGGATTTTTTTGCATTTATAACTTTAATACTGTTGTTGACTAGAGATGTGCCATATGCATTATGCAAGCGATGTTGCATGCTACATAATGCTGCATAATGCGATGCAAGTTGCCTAAAATTTAAAAATGCACATAGAAGTTATTATGTAATTTTTGATCCATGTCATTTCATCAACAATCACTTTATAGACGATTGTTCCTATCCAATTCATAGCCTATGGAATCCAATAAAAAAGTAATCTACCAGGTCTGTTTCCACCATATAAATCTAATATTTTATGTTTTTAAATCCGATAACCTCTCAGCAAAACTACAAATTCTGTTCACTGCATATAGGTTTTGAGAGGTTCACAGTATATTATGCAGAATTGTATAATGCATTATGCGACATAATGTTGCATTATGCGACATAATGTTGCATTATGTGATGCAAAACCAAAAAAAACTTGCATTCGCACATCCCTAGTTGTTATTCATCATGTATAGTTTCTTTATTTTATTTCTGTATTTAATAATAATAACGATAATTGTTACTATTATTTATTATTCAAATAATCACTATGCCAGAAAGTCAATACTGCAAGTTGACAAAAAGTCAACTGATCGAAAGACAAGGGAGAGTGGTCAGGGTTACACGCCGCGTGCTACAACCCTGCCCAGATAACGGAAGTTGGGAACCAAGGCCACATCGGTTTTGATGCAAACACAGCTACGCAATGGAGAAGAGACATCGGACCATCATGCAACACAGCTACGTAACAGAAAGAGACATCAGATAATATCAGTTTCTCATGCGAACACAGCTGTGCAACAAAAGCCACCGACCTCAATCAATATAAAAGAAGCGAGGAATAAATCAATTCCCAGCATTCTTCTCTTTCTCCTTGCAACACAATCAAGTATTATAACCGTCATTTTCTTGACCCAACCCTTCCCACCACACACATTCCTGATTCTGCCATTTTCCTATTTAACAGCCGGCCTGCTTCGAACAGGCGGGAAACCACCGGCTCTCACTCATTCTACTGTTACGATGATACCTGGGCGCAATCTCACTTGCTAATTTTCCCGGGAGCATATCAGTTCAAATTACTCAGCTCAAATTACTCAGTTCAAATTACTCACAATGTATTCTGCGGACTTAAAGTCCTTTAATTGAATTTATTTCCGGCACCTTTGGCGTGCCGGCATTCTTCCAATCACATGACCAATCGTACTTCTGCTTTTCGTACCCATAATATCTGTCTCAATTTTAACCTTTTTTTTCAGTGAGGGGATGCCATCGGGCACTTTGTTTTAATTTTAACTTAATAATGCTAGACTGTTTTTAAAATTTTTAGGTTATAAATTCTTTATTTAATTCATAATTATTATTGCTTCCCTATCTCTTCATTACTAAATTTACGATACATATTCTAGTTACAACTTGTGATTATATTGAAATTAAACTAATTAAAATCGACAAAAGTGGATTTTTTTCAATTCTTTATTTATATCCGTACTAGTTTGCATTATATCAAAAATTTATAAAAAATATTAGGAAATTTTATTCTTAGCAAGCTTCATATAGAAAAATTCATTTGTTGTAAAGGAATCTTTAGAAAATTATTTGTACCTTATTTAATAAAAAAAAAAAAAGGCTAGAATAGAAGCTTTCATAAAACAGCTAAATAGAATATCAACTTAGTCATAACTCACGTTAGTCCCTCAGATTTATTAGCGTTAGTTGCTAAAAAAGATAAAATTACATATATAGTGGTACAAAAATATATTCGGTTTTTATTATGTATTGCAAATCATAATCAGAGGGACGTATCACTGACCGGTGTTACCATCCGAAATTGGGAGAGCGTCAGATAGGATGATGCCAAGATAGATCAGGGTGGTAAACGAATATGTAATATGTCGGATTGGGGGTAAATGTATGAAATCAAATAATAGACAAACCAGTATGAAATAACGACTAAACTGCACAAAGCATATAGTCACAAAGCATAACAAGACAATACGTTTATTATATCAATGAGGAGGAAGTCTACTCAAGACAAAAACCTCAAACAAAAACCTGAGGCAAAAAACCTGCTATGCAAGAAAGGCGAACACATCGGGTTTATATACATGTCAACCAACTATATCTCCCTTTGATACATTACAAGTAAACTATCTATTCTATTAATGCACTGTTGACACCAATCAAACCTTCTCTTGCACCAAGGTCCGAATTATGAGTTACACCTTAACCACTAATCTTGGAGATCGATGTCACTCAAACCTTAGACTCTCGATTGTTAATAGTGTTTGTATGTCGGACCAATTGGACTGCATGCATTACAAACTAATCTCGCTTGGAGATCGGACACAATTAATACGAATGGCTGCAGGTAGGAATAATGGTAAGAAAACAAATAAGAAAGGGACGAATGATGAAAATAGAAATAAAGTCAGGCAATTGCGGAAGCAGGATTAGGCAACAGTTACAGGCGATATTAATAATTATGATACAGGGACAGAATTAAAGAAGTGACACAATTTTGGGGCGCAGAAATATTACAACAGTAACACCGGTATTGTGAAAGAAATCTAAAAACAACAATTACACTTATAGAGACAAACCATAAACAATAAAATTACCATAATTTGATTAAAGGTTACATTATAAATTATGCCAAGCAGTTAATCAAGTAGACATTAAAATTAATATTTCTTAAATTACCAACGTTAATAAGGTATTTAGATACACAATTTATTGATGTTAATAATTTAAGAAAATGTTTATGTTTTGTCTTTATAAGGGCTATTATGGTTTTTAGATTTCTTGTGCCGGTGCAAGAAATCTAATAACCACAATAGCTCCTTATAAAGACAAAATATAAACATTTTCTTAAATTATTAACATCAATAAATTGTGTATCTAAATACCTTATTAACGTTGATAATTTAAGAAATATTAATTTTAATGTCTACTTGATTAAAGTACGTACATACGTACTTTAATAAATTTAACTAGAAGTGGGAAGTTAATAGGAAAGATTATTTTGATATGGAATTCTATTTTCATTTTCCTTAAGAAATAAGCTCATGTTTTTTTTCATCATTTAATTTTATTATTCAATGTTGAGGCATTTGATTACTCAACATTAGATATTTCGTATATTTTTATAGGATTTAGGTCTGGACTATTCGATGAACAGTCAACCATTGTGCTGTCGATCATTGTTTAGTTGCAAACATCAGCTATTTTCAAAAAAGCATTATTGTGGTGCCCATTTTGTTGATAGATCCCCACGTTTTTTTTTTGCTGATTGAAAATCTTAAGCTCTGTTCCGATCTGTTCCGATAAAAATAATGGCTGATTGCTGATTAGCCTGAATTAGAAAAGTTAGGTCGTACTATATTCCTATTTTATATTATTCCAACTATACTAAGAAACCTCACGGGTTATAAGCTTTTGATAAATAAGTACTAGCTATCCGTTGTGATAACTGATTATTCACTAGGACATTTACTATGAAAAATCAGGCATCAATCACTAGAACTCGACTGATAACTAAGTTATCCGACATGTCTTATGTGAACACCGAACGATTTTTGTGTAAGTTATTCGTCCACCCCCTAATACAAATACACATATTTTCATCACCTCTGTAAGAGGTGATGAAAATTTGTGTATTTGTATTAGGGGGTGGACGAATAACTTGCACAAAAATCGTTCGGTGTTCACACAAGACATGTCGGATAAGTATTTATATCCAAGGTGTACTGTATTTGTTTTGAATAACGCCAATGAGTGTTATTTTGAGGTATGCAATTTAACCTTAAAAAATCTTTGAAGATTCATTAATCAGAAATCTCAGAATGTAATACAGTGCATAAAGATATCAAAGGAAAACAATTTTCAGTTTTTGCCGTAAACGAGTTCTGAAAAATTGTAATTCAATCGGTGTCATATTATAGGTTTCCTCTTATTGAATTCATATATATCAAAATATTTTCTATATAAACGCCATGAATACTATGAATACTTGATAAAAGACACTAATAACTTTTTATTTAAAAAAAAAATGTCTGAGACACCAAAAATATCTTTTATTACCCAGAAAGATGGGGACATCCAGCAAGATAAACCCGAAAAAATCTTGGCCGATATTGAAAGTGAATCACCAAAAGTAAAAATATGCATTACCGCGCAGGAAGATAAAACAGAAAAAATCTTTATTACTAAACTTTTAGATCAATATCATGAATTTAGGGAAACTGTATTAGTATTATTGATTATCAGTTTTTTAATTTCATTTTTCGCCCTTTTTATTGCGGTATATCTCAAAAAAAATGAAAGAATCGAAAATCCTAATAGACCAATTAATCTTAATAGACCAATTAATCCCACTCTTGAAGATATTGCTAAAAATGGCGCTGATAAGTTATCAAATACGATACCCTTGGTAGTTGATTCCTTAACAGCATTATTAAGTGGTGGAGGAATTATTATAGGGTTTAAAAAATTTTTTTTCTCATCTAAAGAATATATAAATTTGATGCATAAACCCATAGAAAATGAAGTAGTAATTGGTACCAGACGAGTAATCAAAAACCTGAAATTGATAAAAAATATATATGCTACCATTACTACAATCGGTTCTATCATTATATTCATTCTTGTTGTTATAAATCTTGTACATTTAGCCACTAGTGATAACTCTATATCAAATAATGATACTTGTCAAATTTTTACTGATTGCATTACTTATGTTCAAAGCATCAATTCGACAGTTGGTCAAAATTATGTAATATGCAATACTGCTACAAATACCACTACAAATACCACTGCAAGTGCCGATGCAACTACATTTAAAACCAAATTAGATGCTTGTAGATTTGTTCTAGGATGTGACAGCAGCGTACCTTGTGATAATCAAGATAATCTTATATGCCAAATTTCTAATTCAAATTTGGCTTATTTTAATACCACTTATGTTAACAATGATATATGTCCACCTGCGGTGTCAGAAATTTTTATATCTCAGGAAAAATTCAATTATTACGAAACAAATAATATCGCCGTGTTAGCATTAGGAGCTACTGGAATAATTCTAAATGTATGCTTGTTGATTTTTTATTTTAATCGTTTTGGTACTTCTAAAATTCGAATGGAATCAGATACAAAGAATAATCTTTATAAGTTAGCTTGTTAATATTTTTATCATCAATTATTATTATTTTTAGTTCATTTTTGTAAAACACATCGATGGTGTTTTGATATATAATATTTTTTATATTTTAAAATATTCTAAATTTTATAAGCTGGTATTTATCTTTTTAATTCATATTGATTAATATTTTATAGTTATATTTTAAAATTTGAAAGGTTTTCGGGAGTGTAGACCATTTTCATTTAAAGCACGACATCTAATTAATTAACAAGTATTTGAAATAATGTATACCTAAATGTAAAACATCATAAGTGTGTTTTAATAAAAATGTTTGTACCAGGAACGGAGTGATGCAATCACGAAGTGTATGGTTACTATGGCATTTTTAATGGTGTACGTCCGCAAAATC